GACACCATCACAACATGACCGGGACACCATCAAAACATGACCGGGACCCCATCACAACATGACCGGGACACCATCAAAACATGACCGGGACACCAGCATCACATGACCCGGACGCCATCAAAACATGACCGGGACACCATCCGCCCACCAGCTCTGACGGTGACCCGGCGGCGCCCGTCCGCCTATTAGTTTTGCAAGACCCCATAGCATGGCTATTGGGGAAAAACACTATATATATAGAGATATACAAACACACCTATATACATATATATATATACACATCGAAACATGCCAGGTCTATAGACGTCCTCTACGTTTTGGATTGATCTAGAATTCCCAGCTAGCGCTCCGCTGCTCTGCCGCTCCGCCTTCTCCTGCGCACCTCGGCTTTCTGTGTATCTTCACCTGGCACAAGGAACAAGTGCACGAACCCACGCGAGCTGGAACTTTAGTAGCTGTTGCTATACAGTACGAGCCATTAGCATCATTAGCAAAGGGAGCGCAAGAGTTATGGAAATTGTTGGGCCAATCAGCCTGAAGAAGCTGGCGGCACTTTGCTCAAGTCTATCCGGATCTCAGGACGGCCGTGGCGTCTTCACCGGCGTCACCGGCATGCCACTTCACAGGAACGACGAAGCCAAGGCCCATACCCACGCACCCTCCATGGAGACCTTGACTCGTTTGCTTGGAACACCCCAATCTCAGGAACAAGCAAGAAATTGCTGAATTGGGAATCGGGACGGGCTTACTGAAACCAGCTACCACCACTCTAAAACCACCACCTCTCTGCCACACATCGAGTCAAAACAGCAGAAACTTGCTAGACACACTTGAAACGGTAAGGTCTCTGCACAGAAAATCGGATCGCCCCTTGAGAGGCCACTGACGATCTGCCCCTGCAATAAGGTCGAACATCAATGAAAAACCAGCCGAGATCGGAGTGCGTCAGACTGCCAGATGGATGAAACATGATGAAACAGCCTCCGTGCTTTACCACTGGGATCACTTGCCGAGCATTTTACAGAGAATCATCGTCAGTTTACAGAGGACCAAGCACGGAGGAGGAGGAAACTAAAAAGGGTATACAAAGGCCTCCAAGGATGGGCTTCGCCTGATCGCCACCCATTTGTAAACCACCATCCACCTCGACGAAGAGGGAGATGCACGAACCCACAGGAGAAAGAACATGCTGGACTCTGCCAAGCTTGCTGCACCGTGCCCAACCAGGCAACTGTATACTGTATATTTCATCGGTCCCTAGGTGCCACGCCAAGCAAGCTCGGAGTTGTTTGCGGCGTGGTTGTTCCCTGAAGCTGCATGGGTATATGCGAGTTGCCCTAAGCTCTGGCACTCTCTCATGTCTGCCATATTCTCCCTCACTTCCAAGCCCCAAACAGCCTACCAGGTGGCGCCATCGGCGAATGTAATGCTCCTCAGACAGCCCGACTTCCTAACCCCATCAATTCCCTTCGCGCACCATGTCCCCCAGCGCTAGTGTTCAGAGCAAGCAGCACGCCTGAATGCGGCTGTCGAGATGCCAGACAAATTGGCCGAGGAAGACCGAATTTCTGGAGCTCTTGTCCAGACACATATGGGCCACTTCAGATCTTAAAAATCTAAATCAGGTAGTGAGTGGCAGCTCGACCGCACCAAGGTCTAGAATCTAGAATTTCTGGAGTTCAAATTATACGAGCATACTCATGGTCAGTGCGTCCGCTGCACCCTCGCGATAGCTCCTCAGCACATGACCCTCGGGCTCAGAACTGCGCATCTCGAACAGCTCAGTGCTGGGGAAATGACCCCGCATCTCAAGCATTTGCCGGTGCGACAACCCCGAGATCAAGCCAAGCCAGCGCCAGGATTGCAAGTCAGGCAGATTCTGCCCAATCTCCACTCACTTGAACCCGATGCCCATGGCTTTGAATGCTGTGATGATGATGACTTTTACCTCCTTCTTCTTGAACTTCTGCTGGGTGGCACGGAACTCCCACCAGACTGGCCCCTTTTGCACTCGCAAATAGCTGTTCCCTTTTCTCTTGACCTCTGCCCCTCTTTTGGCTGCGTACTTCACAAAATCATTGGATGTTTCCAGGTGAAGCAACTGCGGGTCCACACTCAAGCCCTGTTTCTCTGCCTCACTTTGCTGTTCTTCTGCTAGTCTCTTCAACTCGCGCTTCATGAGGCCCTCGTTTTCAAAATGATGTCCATCAATGCCACCAATGACCCGCCGCACCACACTACTCTCATGCCAGTTGCCTGACATCCTTATGCCAGTGAAGAGCCACAAGGTAGTCGAGGTCATCAAGAACCACAGAATGAAGAGGCTGAAGAGGTGCACGGCGAAAAAGCGGGACATGCCCAACGAGGTGCTTTCGGCGAAGCGCGCCCAGTCTTCGGAGCTTGAGCCACGCGATGCCATGCCAAAGGATCCCCCAAAAACCCTTCCACGGGCGAACCACACAAACGACCCTTCAAGTTGGTTTGAAGACTGAGGTTCCCACATCCTGCTCAAGGTCAAACCTTGCATGTCAAACACTCTCCCAAGAGAAAGGCGGTGGGATGTGCAAACAAACTGGGGTGAGGTAACACCAAACAGCGTAACGGCGTAGTGGCATAATCAGCTTTGAGGATACGGTTTGCAAGCACGCTCGGCTCTTGATTAAAAGACACCATTTGGATTGTAGCTTGGGTTCGGTTATACTGTTATATCTGTTATACTGCACCTCGGCGACGGCCGCGCCAGCGGCTAAGCCAGGCACGCGTCACTGCGGGGTTCCTCCTCATGGTTTGGTGGATCCACTTTGGCATGCACCTGGCAGTGGATAGGGACGACTTGACTTGACAGAACGACAGAATGTATTCATTGCACACACTCCAGCTCGATGGTGCACCAGGCAGCTCAAGATTCCTCACACGCAAACACACAGACGGCCACAATGGCATCCCAAGCCCTTTCTCTCTGCCAAGGCGGGCCCAGCAGTGCGCCTTTGCACAAGGCCACCAAAATGTGCTAAGGCGCTGTGCAAGTGGCGAAATCCCTCGCAGTGGCCTAGCGGCCTAGCCCTGTTCCACCACCCGGGGGGGGGGCCGGCCCGTTCTTGGGCCACAGGGTCGCTGAGGAGTTGCCGCCACACTCGATGTGCCCCACCCACAAGCCACGATGACCACAGCGTAAGGTATCGGTACTGGGTGGCTGATCATCTGAGCATTTCACTTCGCATGCGAGCCCCTGGCCCATGTCGGTGCACAAAGAGATGGTATTGGGCGCGACATGCGGGCCACATGGCACCGGTGGGTGGGTGTTGTAGCGCCAAAGGATGCTGTAGTCGTCTGAGACCAAATTGGCGCGTGCGGCAAAGCCTGTTTTCTTCCTCCTCTCAAAGGGATATCCCCAGCCCACGAAGGCATCATGCAAAGGAGACTTGTATTCCCGATTCTTCACTTCCTCGGCCCACGGGGCAAAATTCTGGATTTGTTGCCTTTGGATACTGATACTCTAACCAAATTTAGAACAACAAAAACTGGCTGCTCAAAAACATCATGCGGGTCTCAACTTTTGCCCAGCTTCAGGGGCCAGCCAAAGATATTCTTGCACCACGCGCGTGTCCAAAAATGGGTATCGTCCTTCCACACCATGTGCACCAGCAACATGTTCTTCCTTGTGCAGGTAGTCTCGCTGAGTTGATAGGAAGAACTCGCCCCAGGGGAAGATGGTCGACAGATTTTCCGGAAAGAGGCCTCCAAAAGATGACTGAGGACACCACTTCTCACCCTCAAAGCCGTAATCGCTCAGAATTTCCTTACTTGGAAGAGTGCCCAACTGTCCAATACACTCTAAGTTGGGCCTGCTGAGCACTTCCAAAATGGGGGAAGTAAATATGCGTGCCATGTCTCATCCGCACCGGTACCAGAGAGGTAGCATAAGGCTCCACGGTCCCGGCTCAAGCGGACGATGTAGCTTAAGCCAATGGCCTGACATTTGGTGGTTGGTGCCTCCCCCAATGCGTTGTGGGCCACCAGTTCCCTCTGTGGCTTGAAAGGGGGCGGTATTTCCAGTGAAGACGAGGAAACTTAAGATAGTAAGGCGAATTTGTCTTGTGCTCCCTTCATGATTGCTAAACCCATTCCAAGAGGAAAAAGTCCTAAAATGGGGAACATGAAATCACCATATAGATGGAAGTGGGATTAGGAATGATTAGGATGTGACTGCAGTGGTGCCGAATACCAGCTACTGTCCCATTTGCAAGTCAAGTTGCCGCATAGTCGTCTAGTACATTGATTTGCCCAGTCAAGTTACGTCCCAAGTAGTTGAACGGCTCAGCTCTCTCTGACAGCCACTCTCGTTCTTGCTCAAAGTCCCAATCGTTCATCAGAACCACAGAGACCTCCGAAGTGGACTTGGCAAACATGGCCCGGTCATGGAGCATTTGTGGCATCTCCTCAGCCAACAGCGCAAAGGCGTGATGTCGGACGGAATTCTGGTGTAAGGAGGCGTGGATCGCCCCGGAGTCAAAGCCAGACGAGAGCCCAATGAACAATGGTCGGCCCGTTTGCTCCAAATCCTGGGTTCGCAACTGCACAGCTTCGTTGAAGGCATGGATAAAGTCCTCCGTCGAAGTCTTGAACTGCCGTAGGTCAAACTCAAAAACAGCCGTTTGCTTCACTATGCTGAATGTCTCCAAGGAAATGGTCAGGACCCTATTAGGGCCCACCATGTGTATGTCTTTGCTCAGGAACCCCAGTCGAAGAAGCCCACTTTTGTAAGAAGCGACTGCCAACTTGCCTCCACTGAGTGCATACCACAGTGGCTTAGTACCAAAAGCATCCATAGCAAACACTGCCTTGCGACTTTCAAAATCAAAAATGGCGATGGCAAACTCCCCATGCAAAGCCAAAGGGAACGACTCCCCTGCCATGGCGTAGGTGGGTAAAATGGCTTCGCCGTCCGACTGAAACGCTGGCAGCCCGCGCGACTGGGCCTCTTCACTCAAACGCCGCCAGTTGTAGATCTCTCCATTGAAAAGAGCCACGATGCGGCCATCAGAAGAGACGAAGGGTTGGGGTCGCCGTTCACCTGTCATGTGCAACAAGTTGTGAACAAAGTCAAAGCCATGTAAACGGACGTGTGTCGTCACATCTGGCCCCCGTGGTTGCAGGAAGAAGTTTACGAAGGCCAGATTTGTGATAAGTTGATTTGCCGCCAGAAAGGAGCACATAGCAACATCCCTCCGCACTTCTGGAATGCAAAATGGCTTGCCGTTGTGACGCGAGCATCCAGCTGCTTTCAAGGAGCGATGTCTAACAATTCTAACAAGAATCGTGCTTTGTCATTTATCTTTCAGGGGTGCATTCATCCCTGGGATTCGAGCAACATGCATACATTGGGTCTCAAACACGGGCACATCGGCATCCCTAAGGGCACGAAACGTGAAGCTTTGGGGTGGTATTGATTCTGTCAGGGTGGCAACAAGCAAATTCAAACAACTATCCGCCAGAACTTGAGGTTGGAAAGGCTGTGTCAAAGCATTCAACACCTCTCGCCGGGTTTTGCGTGGTGCTTGTACTTCCTTGAGCCCATTCACATGCAGACCGGCCGGGCAAATTGTACTACATCGCCTCTTCATGCCTCACTGCTGAAACACACGTCCCAAACCGCCGCCAACAAGGCGGGAATGCCATCGAACCCACAACCTCGGCGTCGACCTCGGTTTTGAAAGGAAAGAAGCCACGGAGCAACATGAAATTACAATGTGCAATGATTCGATAGCAAAGACCGGAAGACAGTCTGCACATGTCTGCACCAATTCTTTGATCTTTTCGGGCTCCAGGCTCAACTCATTGGGCAACATCTTTCTACATGCTGTTGTTCCAAGGGTCTCGGCATGTCTCAGCGACTTCATCTCGAGTTCTCTTGCAGTACAAACATGAAACTCAAGGAATTGTGGCATGGGTCTCTCTATTACGCTTTCTATCGCAAATAGCCACGGCTTCAAAATGAAGTTGATCTCTTATCTGCTCTTTTTGAGACATCGCTGCTTGAATGATCGGTCAATGTCAATCACGCCGGCTTGATCCAGCCAAGCTTGAAGAAGTGCATTTATCATGTATCCCCTAAATGACCCAAGCCAACCAAAACAGAAACAAAAAAGGAGGGAGTCCAAACGCCAGAAAATGCCAAAGACTGCATGGATTTTAAAAACAAAAGTAAAAAAACGTCATTTTCATCATTTGTCCACATCGCCAGGGCCGGACATTTCATCCCTGCGGGGCGGAAACGAGTTGACAGGGTGCGTGCAGAGCACGCGCATGAATGAGTCAGCCCGGCAGGTGTCAGAGTGCTCAATCAACTAGTCTGTATAACAGTTTATTCATTTACAAAAGGATCACCACTCGCAAGTGACATGACCACATCATCATTTGCAGCCATGTCATGGACATATCTTTGTGCATGTGTTCCCCGTGTGTCCTTCCGCAAATTCACTGTCAGCCAGCATGCCACTGCTTGGCAGGGGTCAGGTCTATTTATGCAGAGAGTCTGGGCAGGTCTATTTCGCCTGACCCGCATTCCGGCCTCCTTCTTGATCAGGTAGGTCAGGTGGCACCTCCCGCAGTAGTAGCGATTGAAGTGCATCGCCATAAAGACGCCTTTCCGTCGAAGGCACCGAGCCGCAACAAGCGGAACCCGATGGCAGGGATCAACCCAACAACAGTGGAGGGCACCCACGTCCACAGTCTAAGGCCTGCCCCCCCCCCAAAAAAAATGAAAGTGCCCACGGCAGGAACTTGCCTGGTCCACACCTTTCATCAGGGCACTCACGCCGGAGTCGAGTGACCTTGTCATTGGAGTCAACTTTGTAGAACTTCCTCGGTTACATTCTTGCTCTATAATTGTGCTTTTGCTTGAGTTATACAACTGAGATTGGCCTTGGCAAGCTTACATTTCTTGCCCTTTGATTCACCTTGGGTCCTCTTGGCCAATGCCAAGTGCATGCAACAATGGGCAATGCATTGGCCCACCCATTCCCTGATAAGCCTCCTTGCCAAGTGTCAGGACAGCAAGCTTCACCTTCTTCCGCTTGTGCTTGATTTTCCTAGATTGCTCTCAACAAGACCATATAACTGAATATAAAGACCAAATTTGTCCTGTATAGGTCGGAGCATGCTTTCACCACGAAATCACCATTCCAAGTGGCTTGGGCTTGGTGTAGGTCTTCTTCTTTCGCTTTTTGCCTCCACCATCCAGGCCCGAGCTCAGGAAAATGGTAGACTCCTGACCATGGTGATGCCATGGTGTCTAGGAGGCATGGTGGGAGGATCACTTACGCACCGGAATTGGGTGATGTGGTAGGGTGAGGTGAGGTGGGGGCTTTATATCGTTCACTTCGACTGACTCATACAAACCGCCAACAGTTCGGCGATGCACAAGCGATCCAATTCGCACTTCACAGGCGACCCGACAGAGGAGGCCTGCCATGAGAACCACCTCTTCTAGGTTTTAGTCCTATGTGATGATGGTTGACTTAGTGCTGATGCCTTGACAGCTTTCCCCAGGTCTCCTCTGTAAGGCCACACTCCACCAACAGCTCTTCTGAAGACAAGCACCTCACGGGAAAGGCGAGCGCAAGCCTCTCGCAGCCTCTCTGTGATCTTTACGTAGCCTTTTGTCGGGAGGCAACTTGGGCGACGTTGAATGAGAATAATGACACGGAGATAGAGGGGGCCTCTCAATCACCTGTGCAATGCTGTGGCAAATGCATCGAAACCACAGAGGGAACGGGAGAAATGCTTAAGAACATAAACTCGAACCGGGAGCCAACGCAAGGCCCTTCAAGCAAAGGCAGGGAGACAACAAACCCTTTCCGTCGTGTCATCCAGTGAGCTGCAAGCATCCTTTTTCACGAGTATTCTTGCCGCCTCTTGCACTAGAAGGACTATAAACAAAGGAAGAAAACCAAAGCAGGTGACAGAATTGTCGGCGTATAGACATTTGTTCACGGAACCTCTCCTGCTCTGGGCGCTCTTCACCGTAAAGAATGACCAGAAGTATCTTTAATTCAGCCTTGTCTTCTGAGACTCTTGTGGCGCTTGGGGCAAGTTGCCAAGCGAGATCTCTGCTCGAATCGCCCAAATGGGCGTTCAACTTGCCCATGGACAAGTGCGCTACAGACATCATCACTACCATGAAAAGCTCAAATTGAGTCGATGGAAGACGTCTCGCGATCCGATGAGTCTGAGCTGCTTCTCAAGTGTCTTGAACGGGGCTAGCACAAAACGCATCACGTGTAATGCTTGATGAGGAGTACACAGGCAAATAAGTAAATAAATACATATAACATGTATCTATATATAACTATATATATAAACATGACATACATGCTCCATGAAAATCAGCACTAGAGTGAGTGCCCCTTGAGCGACACGAAAGCCAGGCGACTTTGCACCAGGGCTTCTAACCAAAGTCATCTGTGGCAGAAAGACACACCGATGATCCGCAGTTTGTTCCCTGACGTTTTGACACTTCCGCAGTACAGATGGCCCCGAGGACGCATCGGTGACCGGTGTGGCAAGTCCACAAGAAGTGTTGAGGACTACGCTGCTAGGTTCAGCTCAAATGGCAGGCATACACTGCGGCATACACTTGCATAGATTACTCATGTGCTACCTTTGCCTCGTGCACGCACCCTCTCCAAATCATAATTAAATAAAAGCTTGCACGGCTTGGAGTGTCACGCTTCATGCATCTTAGCATATCAAGTGTAGACCAAGACTACACGCGTTGTTTCACGAGTTCATGATCAAGGTTCACCCTCAACGTCCCTGTGTGTAGACCTTGATCAAGCCATCCTGCAAGGCCACCAGGATTTGCCCAATGCTTCCAGGGTTCACCGCCAGCGAGTTCACCACGCCACCTGCGAAAACGACACCACGCGCGGCAGCCGTGGCCGCGGCGCAGTACTTCGCGTGCGAGTCCGTACACGAACGGGGGTCCCAAGGTCTGCCGATTGGGTGCCGCAATCATCCTGCCTTTGGGGTTAAAGTGGCAAATAGGCCAATCCGTCTCCTTGTTATCAGTGGAGTACACCAGCCACACATAGACTTTGCCATTGCTATGGCCGGAATAGAAGGCATTTCCTGGCACACAAGCAGACAGGGAAACAAAGGCAGTACAGGACAGAAGTGTTCAAACCGTCATTCTTTTTAGGTCCCATAAGTCCTTTTTGCTTTGACAACTTCCTCACGACATGCCCATTTGTCAACTCTGAACCTCCAACATTGCACCTTGACCTTCTCCTCCCCCACGCCTCCGGGGATCATGGCCAATGATTTAACTTGCCCAGCGTACACCGCGTAGTGTGAGCGCACCGGATGCCCGTTGCCAGCCTCTTCAGGGGCTCAAGCGGCAGGATCAATTCATCAATTCCGATTCTGAAAATGACGGATTAGAATCAGAAGGCAGCAGTTTGACTGACTCGCACTCCAAAATCTCACGACCAAGCGCACCTGCCAGAGTCGAATCCATCCATCATCACCACCAGACCAAAACTGATCACCTGCAGGCTGAGCCAGCAATGCATTCACCCGGCCGATGTGAGCTTGAGGAATGATCGCCTGGAGGAAGCCATTGTAGCTTTTCCTGCAAGCATATGGCATCACCGTACGAACTCTCGGGACGTGACGAGCTCTGCAAATCCAAAAGCCTGGTGAAACAAAAGTCCAAGGATCCAAATCCGTATGCTGCCATATTCATAGCCCACCACGAACCACAGGTTGGATGGAATCTCCACCAAGCTGATTACCTTGCCCCAACCATTGTCTGGTTCGTAATACCTTAGCTCTGAGACATTGCTCTTCATAGTGGGCCGCCCGGCAGCGATTGCAGCTAGTCACATGTGCATTGCTACCAGCCATGAGTCGCTTCTCGAAGACTTATAAGCTTCATCCAAGCAGCCAGTGTGGAACATCGCCCCACCTGACACACACACACACACACACCCCAGGTGCTGAGGACACTTCCGGCAGTGATTGGGTGTGTTCTAGCATCTCTGCAGCAGCCAATGGCGTTCTGCAGCAGCTGTGGCGCTTGGGAAATTGGGGAATTGCAAGACTCAACGGGTCCGATGGCGCCTACTAACAATCCGAAGACCAAGCAGACCAAGCACAGTCAAGGCCCCGTGGGTATCTTGGGTCTCCATTCCCAAAAAAGACTGGTGGCTCTTGCAATCCCAAAGGATGGTGCCCCTATCTGTGGCCCTTGAGATCTCCACAACGCCCTTGAGCAATGTCCACAGGGTTGCTTGAGTCTCCCATCGCCTGATGTTGCTGAAGTAGTTCGGCCATGGGCCTTCCGCGAGATCAGTCATGTTGGATGACAAGCATGCTTTGCAAAGCCAAATGCGATTGTTCAGATGGTGGCAAACCAATGCTGGGGTTTGCAATTTAAATAAAGACAGCACAAAAAGATTTAACCTAACATGACCCCCAAGAAGAACTAACGTAGCTACCTGGTAGCAGAACCACATGTGCTTTGTAGAGTTCCATCGCAACAACAACAACAACAACAACAACAACAACAGCTCAGGCCCTTGCTGACAGAACGGCGCAGCTGCCGTGCGTCTGACTCGGGAGTGATGGGCGCTTTCGAGTTCATCAGCTCGGACATGTTGACCTTGGCCAACTCGACATCCACTGGTTTGGGCGACTACTCTGGGAGTGTAGCTTCTTTCGGGATCCTGCCAATAGGATTGAAAAAGAGAACACTGCACTAGCAGCCTAGCATAGATCCAGCGAGTGTTTCGGAACCTGAAGTCGCTAGGCCGTCAGGCCCGGGGTCAGGCCCGGGCCTGGCTTCGTAAGAGAAAGTAAGAACCGTTTAAGAAAGTAAGGGCCTGCTAGCTTCCAGTTAAACAAAGATAGTTTCATCTAAGAAACCACGTGTGCTGATAAAGAGGCTTCACTTCTCCAGGATATCTCACTGGTAATTACTTCTTACTGGGAAAGCTCGCTCTCCGACTTTTCTGGGTGCCTTCCAGCTGCCCAAAATGCTCGTCAAGTCGCCTCTTTCAGGCGACGATCGTAGTCGCGATCAAGGCCAAAAATGTGACGGCGCCACCTGATGAACCTGACGAAGCTGTGAAAATCTGTAGCTCCAGGATGAATCCAATGGCCAGATGTGGCCGGGATCCCAAAGAAAAACAAAAATGTGAGGAGACTGAGGTTGTCAGGTGGAACTGGACGGGTCCAGTGGATTACCCTGCCATCAAGCTGGCTAAAAACCATGAAGAACCTGAAAGACAAGAAGGCCTCCTGAAAAGCCAAGGCTCGCATCCATCAATTGACTAGATTTATCCCATTTTGGCCATTGGTGGTATCCAGCATCAGTCCTGATCCTCAGGAACCCGTCTGCCTCTAATCTAAGCGGCAAAAGATTTCTCCAAATTGCAAAAAGCCCCTCAAAGAAGTCTGCACTGAAAGATGCGTTTTTTGCGGGAATGCCCACCAACCCCCCCAAAAAAAAGAAGGACATCCATTTGCAAGACTATTTGATCTGCAGCTTCAAACTGCTCTGAAATCGATGACAGCGTATGAGGATGGTTGCAGGACATGGAAGCAAAGCAGCTTCAGCCAAGGCTCTGTTGAATCCATTGGAGCTCCGGATCGACCGGCACCGTCATCGATGCATCCGCCTTCCAATGCCAAATCCTTGGGCCGTCGCGATGCATGGCCCGTCTTCCTTGCAGCGAAAACCTGCATTGGCTCCCCAAAAAAGAAACAGCGCGAGCGCTCGCTTCACGCTATTCAAAGCTATTCAAAGCTCTGCCTCTCGGGATCGCTTCTGGTCTTCGGCCAAGCGGCACCACGAAGCTGTTGTTCTGTCCTACAACCGCTGTCTCCCAGGTGTTCAATCCGATGCAGGCCGTATTCCCCGGAGCCGTCTTCTTGTGCTTCCTGCCAAAGCATGATTCTTCAAAATGCGATCCAGTGCAAGCCAGGGGACACGAAGTGCCACTGTGCACTTAATGCAGTGTACACGACATGGTCTGTTGAATTTGTTGTCTGTACTTTGTCTTACTTCCCTTTCCTAGTTGACATGCCAAGGAGCAATCGTTAAGCGTCCAACTCTTCCCTGCCTGTCATCTTGAGGAAGCTCAGTCCGTCCAGGGACCTCCAGCCCATCTCGCAACTGCAGCAGCCAAACAATGGCTTGTTCCTGGCTGACCTTAGGACATCCAAACTGAATTGAACCAGATTGTCAGGCGCCATGCACTGGTCTAGATCCACTGGGCCCCTGCCTTAGGGCCGGCATTCGTTAGCCAAGGCACAGAACAAAAGTAGGTGGCATCGTTGAATGGTGCAACTTGCAATATGGGGTTTGTATCTTCTGTAAAGTTCTTCAAGGGTTTGCCATCAGCTATGCGCCAATCCCACACCTGGCCAGCGTGGATGACTGGTGCTTCGGGGCAAGTGAGGGAAATTGCAATATGGCTGCCAACCTGCTGATCCCCAAGCACAGCTCCAGCTTCAATGATTTGTTTGGCGAAAATCCCAAGAAAGAATTGTCTGAGTCTCATGAATAGAGCAGCTCCAACAAAAATATGTGTACACAAAATAGAATTAATGGGTGCCCTGGACCGCTATATTTGATAGTCGCTTGTATGAATTTCAGAACGGAATTGCTCGACAACAGGGACAAAAATATCGAAAAGAGTTCAATGGCCACTGACCTTCACAAACAGGCTCAAAACGGACATGTTCACAATCTAAGGGATCCTTTACAAAGTCCGATTCTTCAACTATGTTCTGGACTTGTCCTGCATCTGACCGTAACAGAGCCTTGACAGGCTTCAAAAAAGAGTACCAAAAGTAGCGACAGGCCCCAGAGTTGGTGCAACTGTTGCTTTTTGAGCCTGTCAAGGCATTGTCAACCACTCTGCCATTGAAAGCATCATATAATAGATGTATATAAATCAAAATCTATTTACCTCATTGAGCCCGTCGAGGTGTCCTTCTGCCTCTGGTCTTGGAGAACAAACATCCGACCTTGGGTCTCTAACGTTTTTTGTTTCCTTGCAAATCTAGGAGCCAGATCATTAGTGATAGCGCTTCTTCAAGGAAGCTCCCCCCGCCATCAGGCGGTGGGAGCTTCCTTGAAGAAGCATGAGCTATCCTGCGTCAATACTAGTAATTAGATTAAGTAAGGTACTAGCTATCTCCCTTACTTAATTATATAAGTAGGCGCCTACTTAATTAAGTATGGAGGGGGTTGAGCGGGCCAAAAAAAGAAAAGAATGTCTTCTAACTAAAAGGTCGAGACCGACTCGCCCACATGTGGCATTCTTCGAGATCGGCTGAGATCGCTCTGCAGTCGGCTCCGTCCCACTCACCCAGGCACCGTCCCGTCGTTTCCACCACTGATGGCTTCGGTACCGCCGGGCAAGACGGCCACCGTATTCGCACTCACGCCCTCCGCCGTCTTGTGGAATGGGAAGACCGTGGTCAGGCTGAACTTCAGCTTGGTGTCCTCGCACCTGGAGGAAGAAACCCTAAACGGCATCCAAAAACAAGCCCACCAACAAGCAGCATAGCCGCAGCATAGCCTATAGCCCAACATCCTGCGTTACATCAAATCCGGAGGTGTCTCATCTGTGCCTCAGGTAATGATCTTCTTCGCAGCCAGGAACTAACTTCCCCTGCTCCACCTTCCGCATCACAATCCTGCACCAGGCGGCCAACAACCCCCCCACCCCAGCAGGTCATTCCCAGGAAAAGGCTTGACAAGAATCTGAAGGTTTTTACTGGCACAACAGTTTTGACCATTTCAGCTCACCCCATTGGCTGGTGTGGCTTCTCCTGTTCCACTCGTCTCTGGTCACAGAAGAGCGGGAAATGCCGAGCTTTTCTTCACAATACCTACAGCGAGACACAGCCAAAAACGAAGCTCGACGGCTGCTCCCGAGCGCAAAACCGCCGCTAGGCTGCGTCAAGGTGTCTTTGCACTTGCGGCAAGCGCGGGTGTAAGCGTTGGGTCCCCATCCACAGTACTCCTCCTTGTCGTAGCAACATTGCTCCTCGAAAGCAAAGCTGACACTGCCTTGAAGTATTACATGTTTCGTATGTGGTCCCTTCAATAAATCATCAAAGCTATTCACCAAGGTTCTACATGCAGGTAAAAATTGACGCACTAGACCCATCATTTCCCAATTGATCAATCTGTCTGTCACTGTCTGTTGATTGAAACAGGTCGCACCGCATCAAACAACCAGCTTTTGGCTGCTCATCTGACTCCTCGCAGCTGCCGTAAGTACATTTCCTCGGCGCATATGGCATAGGGCAACGGTCGGCTGGGCAAGTTGTTTTTCGACATAGTCCCTGACAGCAGGCGCTCTTGCCTCAGTGAACGAGACGAAAACGTTTCTGGTTCGAACTACTCCGAGAGTGTATTGTTCTTGCTGTTCGCACCTTTGATCCTCAAGGATGGTGCTTGTCCCAGCTGTCACCCCCCCCAAAAGAGGAAAACAAGACCCTCAATCATCCAAGTTGCAATTCTCCTCACCCTTGCAGGTGCCTGTGCGCAGTGGAAGCCCTTCATCCAAGAATGTGATCACCCGACGGGAGAAGCCAGCACCCACCCCACCGCAAAAGCCGGCTCCAAGCCGCGAGCATTTGATCTCTCTCGTGCAGCACGTGTTGATGCACTTCTGGGAGGTTGCTTTGCCATCGCAGCGCACAGCCGAGCCGTGTCGGGCAAAGTTGCCTTTACAATCCACAGCAGAACATGACGTGGTAGAGCTCAAACCGGTGAGATCCTCTAGGCCCTCTGAAACAGCCAGTTCCGAGGAGGTCTTTCCAGAGAAGGCAATGAAGGCAATGAGCGAGAAAATAACCAAAGCACTACATGGTCCCCAGTACCAAGTTCGGTGGCATCCGTTCTTGACAGTTCCAAGCTCTTCTGGATTTGGCTCCAGTGGCTGCAACTCTGGGACTACCGGCTCGAGAGGCTCCTCTTCCATGTCTGTGAAACCGAGCCGGCCGGACTGAAGCCCAAATGCTGGGCGCCCAACAGGGACACAAAGGAGTAAGTAGGAAAAAAATCAAGAAGGCTGAGTGGTTCTATCGACATGTAGCCGTCTGCAGAACATGAAAGTGCCGGTGTAAAGCCCGGTAACTGCAGTTCAGCTCCGGAGGGATGGTGCAGGAGCAGCCTTTGAAGTAGGGAATGACTTGTCCAGCTCCCGGGCTCTGATAAGCAGGGAAAGGATGACGCCATTTGCAGAAATCAATGCGAAGTCAGGGCTTCCTTAAGGCCGTGTCTGCTTAGACTCAACACCCTGTTACTGGACTGATGGTTTTTGGATATTTATGTTGCAGTACAGTACTCATGGTGCATGTCATTGCCCCCACGATGGTGAGACATCACTGTGCACAAGTGAACCCAAAGCCGATGCATAAGTGAACCCCGATGCACAAGTGAGACCCTTGCCCTGTTACTCAGGCCTGCCACCATAGATCAACTGCTGCTCTTCATGATGGTATCCCTGTGCGGCTTCAAATGCTTTTTTGGGCAAGACCTGACCTGACCCTCTGTCAGTGCGACAGACTCGCATGTCCCCAAATCTCGTAGCTATTTTCACTAGCTGTTCCAAGGCAAGCACACTGGATAAGATGAATTCCTAATGAACAGCTGCTTGCACACACCAGCATCCAGAACAAAGCCGAGGCCATCATTGAAAGGAAATCAACATCCTAGAAGTTGCATGTTTCAACTACAGTAGGCAATCCATTGATGCACTTCTAGTTGAAGAGGTTGGCCCAACAAACTTCGCTGAGAATGATTATCTACGTCCGCGGCCTTCTCTGCCAACAGCTGCTGGAGGGCGACCACAGTGGCTGTTGAGGGCACCTGGCACCCATCATGCAATCCGTCCCATGATCGGCAAAGCAGCCAAGCAAACACTTCATGCGACACGGATTTCGACATCCGGTCGGGCAGCGTCTCACAGAGTTGGCCTCCAGGGGCAGCGTCTCCCCACCAAGCGCACGAATGAAGAGCCGCATGGCCCGTCCTGGCGCCACGTGAGACGGAGCGGGCTGAAAGCCACGCAAGAAGCGCCCGTCCTGGCCGTGGGCCCAGCTGATGCGAACCGTAGCTTGGCTTGAGCCCAGGATGTTTCGCAAGTTGGTTCCACTTCATCGGAAACGGTTCAAAAGGGAAACATCCAAAAACATGCTGTAAATCTTCAGCGTCTTGTAGGTACAATGTGATGGTTCCCTCCCAGCTTGGCTTTTCCCTCCATCCAGCGGACCAGACAGTGAAAAGCGCCAGTGGTCTAGGAGCCGAGTGCAGAAGGAAAACGATGAGCAGGGGGCGGAGTAAAGGTGGGAGCAGCCTCACACATTGGCCCATACATCAGCTCGGACTCAGGTCTTCAAAGGCGCTTTTTTATCCTTCTCCTGATGTCGGCACTTCTTGCTCAAGCCAAGAGTCATGCATACAATCTTGGGCTGCCTCCTCTCTTTGGGAGTTCAGCCCAATTCAGCGCTAAGACACCACCAATAGAAATAATGTGCCAAGCCGTGTCCCACCTTTTTGCCACTTGGATCCACTTGTGTGTTGCCACCGGCCAATGTAGTGCCAGTCTTTTTGCCATGCCTGGGGCGGGGTCCCGCGGACCGCAACACTTGGCGCAGCCAGAAGCCGCTATGGAGGAATGACACGAAGGGACAAAGCTTCAAAGGGGCCGTGAGTCATAGTAGCGATGCCAGGAACTCCTAGTGGCGTCCTTGCTCCTAGTAGTAAGGCCAGGAACTCCTAGTGGCGTCCTTGCTCCTAGTAGTAAGGCCAGGAACTCCTAGTAGAGTCCTTGCTCCTAGTAGTATGACCGGGGGCGGCTAAGCATGCAACATCTTCTTGATCTTTTCAGCCTCAGGCTATGCCGTCTATGCGTAGTCCGACTGGGAGCGAGTGGTCTTGTCATGGAATGACGTCTTTCTCAATCATCTGCAAGGCTGCGCGAGTTGTTGTAGGCATGTGTGTGTATGCGTATATATATATATATACTTATATTATACATATATACAGATACACATATGTATATGTATATGTATATGTATATGTGTGTGTGGGCAGTCGATAACAGATAGATAGATAGATAGATAGAAATCTGCCTGTGCACGCTGCCAATCCTTGCCCGAAACATGTCAAAACAATGCAAATCCTTCAAACCGCTCAGGCACATGCAGCCGTAAGCTTTGTGATCTGCATGACGTCTTCATCTTGCAGCTCATGTTTCAAGCCTGGCTGGGGACTACATGTATAGTGCCATGCCACTTGCCTCTCTTGAATCCAGTTCAATTTAAGCCAGGTCAACATTGTGCACAAATTCAGCTGGTGCAACGATGAGTATATAAGTATACTGATTAGAAATGGCTTTGATAGTATTGGCTGCGAGGTCCAATGCATTATTGCAACTCAGCTCCTACAGGATGCCGTCCACTCCGAATATCAGCTCAATTGAGGCGTTTCGGCCACACACTTGCGGAGATGCTCGTACTGAACAGCCCCACACCAACGCAGACCTTAGCTGAATCCCAGTGTGGCGTAGCCTGAAGCGCTCATGGAGCTTAGATCCTGACTTGAACTCATCAAGTAGGCTCCTCAAGAATCAGCGAACAAAATCGCCTATGAGTCAAAGTGCATTTGTTGGACACTCCCTTGAGCCTGTATCCCAATTATGACTATATAAGAAAAGAAGCGGGATACCAAATGATCTCCATGTCAAGGCACTTGTGGAGCAAACCAACAGCATTCTCCACGGTGAAGGTTTTGTTGCCCCGTTGGCAGGTCAAAACAATCCTAGGTGAGCCGAAGAAAGCGAGAAACGTGTGATGGAAACAGCTAAGCTCAAGTCGGATCCGTGAAGTCTGGGAAGTGGCCCTGGAGAGGGGGGAGGACGCTACTGGGAGCAAACGGCATCGCTACTAGGAACAAGGACGCTACTAGGGGCTCCTGGCCTTACTACTGGGAGCAAGCACGCTACTAGGAGCAAGTCTGGGAAGATCTGAAAGTTGGAGGTGGAGAAAGCTGAGATCGTCCATTGGTTTGACATGGTGAACATAATGAACATATGTGAACATGGTGAAATCTTCTGGTTTGCCTTCTTCTTGGTGTAGACCCTTCTTAGGTCCAACTCCTCTGCACATGCAGAAGTCATGTCCAGCTGAAGCCTGTCGGACCTGAACGATTTACCTTTTGCACATGCACCCCATGTCTTTCGCTGCAGAGCTCTGCAAATGGCAATAGAGAAACCAAAACATCTGTCTGACTGAAATCTCCTGCCAAATTCTTTCCAGCAGGCCATCCAGGTTGAACCTCAGTGGGCCAAACATGACTCTGTTGTTTGCGATGAAAACTGTAGATCATATTATTAAACAAGTGCAACTCCACAGTGGGGTCAAGTTGTTCTACGAGGTCACCCCTGATTTAGCAAAAGCCATGCCAAGGACGCATCTTATGTGCAAATCGTTGCTAATGGGTCAAGTAGATGAGTGCCCGAGTTTGCAGCTCTTTGCTCACAGAGACCACCACAGAATACGGCTGTCTTGCCAGCTCATCCACTTGACCTTGGCCCCATCAGCTTGAAGGAGCCCGAAAAACAAGGCCCCGGTGAAAAGGAAAGCAAATAGCAACCAGCCAAGCAAACTGCTGACATTCAGCAGGTCGATCTTGTTGTAGACCTAAAATCATCTTGGGATGTCAAGTGAGGAAACATTTCAGAGCACAATCCCATCCCTCCCCCTTTCCTTCTTCCTTCCTCTCCCTCTCTCCCTCTCCTCTTTCTCCTAGCATTTGTTATGTCCTGCCTTTATGAAAGCTCCCTTGCTGAGCCAAGGCACGTAAATGCACTTGCAGTACTGGCGTGGTGCTGTGCCAGTCTGGCGGGCAGGAAAGCACAGGTCAGATGATTTGTTTGAATATATCGTATAACAGTCCGCTCTACAACATGTGTGAAGAAATGCTCAGTTTGCTGGAAGCGAATCGCAGCCTCCTCTAGCACATCAATAAAATCATCAATGGAAGCATCCTCATGCCTGGTAAGGCGACACACTCCCAAGAGTAAGGCCGGCAAAACTCAGACTGGCACGAGCTCACATAGTGCATCAATGCAGCCAGCTGGCACAACAACATCAACGTTGAACATCTTGTACCTCAAGAATAGCATAGAATAGCTCACGACTCCTATAAACCAGCATGTGACAGTCCCATACACTCTGGCTTGATCCTTGTCATGCCCAGCTGCTCACGGAGGATGGAAAAGCAAACTTCGGAGCTTAGCCTCGTTCGAAGGCATCGACCAACCAGCAAAGGCTGTGAGGCACAAATAAGTTGGTCAACACTGGCGCATGTTGCCGACATTGACAGTTTGGGGTTGCTCACAGGTCAAGCAGGAACTCGGACATTTTCGGTCTGCGCAGTGACACTGAAGCTCCCGCACGAAAACTCTGCCACTGACACTATGCAACTCCCACTCTCGGCGGCACCGCTTGCATCATACTGTAAACTGATGATATCCCTCAAACGTCGGAAGCGGTGCTCCCCTGATGATGTGATATTATTGTGCAGGTGCAAACATCCAGGGCTCATGAAGCCTATTCGAGATTCTATGGCAAGGCATAGCCGAAGCGTGGCCCAGTTGCCAGTGGCCAGTGGCATGGAGAAACGATAGTGGTCCACATGAGTCACGATGCCATGTGGAGCCGCTGGAAGAAGCAACTTGGAGACAGGCAGAAAAAGCTGATTTGGGCCGGACATTGCAATCTTGACAGGATTTTGGATCAAGCAGCCAGCTATCGAAGAAAGAAACATTAGCTTCCGAACGCAACGCTCGACGGGCTGGCCAAAATGTGCCAATCTCACCATATGTGGCGAAGGTCTGTGGAAAAGCTCGGTAAACAGAGGTAGTTCAGCACAGGTAGTTCAGAGCCTTCAGCCATGGCACCTGCTGTGTGAAACTGAAATACAAATATACCGCAAAGGCGCTGCAAGCGTTTGA